GATGGGACATGGGGAAGGCTGAGTTTGACATCTAACCACTTTATAAAGAGGAACTGTGATCATCAATGACACCCATATCAGCAAATAGATAGCTGCTTGGTCAGACAAGCTATTCTCCAGATCTCAAATAAACACACATCTATTTCCACCAATCACCGGGTTCTATATTCGTTCTTGACTCACAGACTTTACTCACAGCTGTGGTACTGAGAATGGGGTTCATTAGGGAAATAAGTTGGAGAGTGGGGGAGGTAAAGAATATCACCAAATGCAAGTCCAGGTTTTAGTCCAGCAGTCCCAAGGCACAACTGCTCAATTAGTCCAGGCTCCAGTTTAATGTCAGCAATCAACTTTTCCTTCCATCATCCAGCAAGAACAGTAAAACCTTTAACTGTGATTTTTATCTCAGGGCTCTTCTGGTTATATCTTGCCACAGTTTTTCCATAGCAATGCTACAGTTTCTCCACCACTATCACCTGGATCTCACCCTCACCAGGGTCTTGCTCCAGCCTCCCTCAAGTCTTGCTGCTCAGTGTGGGAAGCATTCTCTCTCTCTCAGGCTCATCCCACAGCTGTTGAGGATTTGCAAGAGTATCTTCCGTTTAGGTAGCTGGAGACCAGAGGGGACTAAAGTAGCGGCCAGAAAAGCCGACTTTTAAGCTAACACCACATCTACCCATTGAACCACCAATGCAGAATCTCCTGAACAACATTTAGTTGTTGTTGTTAGGTGCCCTTGAGTATGACCCATTGTAACCCTAGGAACTACAGATCTGAACCATATTCTATCTTGTGTCATTCTCACACTTCCTGACACACTAGAGCCCATTGAGGTAGTCACTGTGTCAGTCCACCTGGTTGAGGGTCTTCCTCTCCATGTTTCCAAGCATGATGTCCCATTCCAAGGAAAAGCCTCTTCTAGCAACAAGCCTGAAGTATGTGAGATGAAACGTTACCATTTCTACCTCTAAGGAAGCCTCTGGCTGCACTTTGTCTGAGACACTTTTGTTTGTTCTTTTGGCAGTGCATAAGATGTTCAGTACTCTTCCAACACCACACCTCCAAGGCACCAATTCTTCTATCATTCTTATTCACTGTCCAGCTCTCAGTATAGCTAGTGATCAGAAAGATCATGGCCTGAATCAGATGCATGTTCGTCTTCAAACTGCTATCATTGCTCCTCAATAATTTGGAGAGGTTTCTGACTGCAGACTTTCCCAGTGCAATACATCTCCTGATATCCTGACTGCTGGTACCAACGGTGTTGGTTGTAGATCCAAGCAAGATGAAGTTATTGACAGTTTCAATCTTTTTTCCATCTATCATGATGCCTACTGGTCCAGTGGTAAGAATTTTTGTTTTATTGATACTGAGATGCAATCCATATAGAAGGCTATATTCTTTAATCTCCTGCAACAAGTGATTCAAGTCCTCCTTACTTTCAGCATTCAAGATTGTGTCATCTGTGTAATGCAGGTTATTAATGAACCTTCTCTGATCTTGATGCCATATTCTTCTTCATAGAGTTGAGCTTCTTATTAATTTGCTCAGCATACAGATTGAACATGTATGGAAAGAGAATACAACTCTGACACACTCCTTTCTTGATTTTAGCCCAAGAGCTATACAGTGACTAAAGATGACAAAAGAATTGATGCCTTCAAGTTGTAGTGCAAGGAAACAAATAAGTAATTGGGGAAATGAGGTTAAGTGTGTCAGAATCAGTGAGACTGGCTCAGGACAGGGCAGGCTTCAGAGCTGCTGTACGTAAGGTTACTATGGGTTGTAGGTGACTTGATGGCACATGACGACAACAAAAATAATAGTGTTCCCTTGCTCTGTTCACAAAACAGCCTTTAGGGCAAGGTCTAGATTTCACAAAGGCACAATTAAGTGCTCTGGGATTCCCATTCTTCTCAATGTTAGCCATAACTTATTATGATCCCCACAGTCAAGTACTTCTGTATAGTCAACAAAGCAAAAATAGACATTATTCTGGTATTCTTTACTTTCAGCCAGCATCCACCTGACATCAGCAATGATATTCCTGGTGCCACGGCCTCTTCTAAATCTTCCTTAAACTTCTCGCAGGTCCCTATCTATGTACTGTTCTAGCTATTGTTAAAAGATCTACAGCAGTATTTTGCTTGCATGTGATATTAATGACATATTTTGATAGTTTCCACATTCTGTTGGATCACCTTTCCTGAGAATGAGAACAAATATGGACCTTTTTCAATCCACTGGCCAGACAACTGTCCCTCAAAATTCCTGACATAGACTGGTGAGTGCATCTCATAGATTGGTGGCTGTATCTGTTAGTTGAAACAAGTCAATTCGCTTCTCGTCGATTCCTGGGACCTTAATTTTTGCTACTGCCTTCAATGCAGCTTCTACTTCCTCCTTCATTACGATTGGCTTCTGCTCATATGGTACTTCCTGAAATTTTTTAGTGTCAGTCAATTCTCTGCCCCTGTTGTTGTGTACCACCAAATTGGATCCAATCAGCACAGGGGGAGATTGCCCCTCCTTCTCCAGGGGAGCATCCGGTGTATTTGAACCGCACACCTTCAGGACTGCAGTGCAGCTTCTTGCCACTAGGCCACCAGTGCTCCCTAGTTAGTTCCTTTTAGTGCAATGACTCTGCATATTTCCTCTATCACACAGGAGGAGATTGCCCGAATCTCTCTCCAGCACAGCGGCTGGTAGATTTGAAACATGTGCCTTTGAGTTTTCATCAACATTTGGAGAAGACAAAAGTTCTTCCATGGGAACTGTTTAGTACAAGTAAGTCCAGGCCTGGGAGGTGCAAACAGTTAGTGGATTCATTGATAACCCAAAGATTGGAGGTTTGAGTTCACCCAGAGGAAACTCCAAAGAAAGACCTGGTGATCGGCTTCTGGAAAACTAGCCCTTGGAGACTCTGTGAGGCTAATTCTTCTCTGACACCCTTGGAGTCATCATGTGTTGGAGTTGATACCGTGGTGGCTGCATAAGTCTGTGCATCTGGCTCCACAGTCATCTGGTCTAAACCGGCTTCTATTTTCCAGTTGGTGGTTCCCGGTCTCCGTCACAGCAGAGGCTCAGAGGCTGGCTTTTCTTCCAGGTGGATCCCACTGTGCATGTCACCCTTATGGGATTTTTCTCCATCCATCCTGACCACAGAGGAGTCAGGTCTCCCCACTCTCCTCTTACTGAGATATAGGTGAGGAGCAGGGGCTTGCAAAGCTTTGGATATTTTGCAGGATAGTGCAGCATGAGGTCCAAGATTAGGCAGGCCTAGGATTAAACTTCAGCTTGGCTGTTCATCTGATACGTGACATTGGTAAAATCTACGAACTCGGTGCAGCCTCAGTCATTTAATCGGGACCATGCAAATGTGGTGACACGCCGGCACCGGGAGAACCTATCAGATGACAGACGTGGTGATGTATATTCTATTTTACTGTACTCCTTCTGGGTTGCTGGGAAAGTTAAATTTGACATTTCATATCTACAACATTTAGCACAATGTTTAGGATTCAAGAACTGCTCACTCAGTTTGAATGTCTTTTAGGGAGCTCTGGTGGCCTAGAGCTAAGAAGCTGTGCAGCAATCCCAAAGGCATATGGTTCCACCAGCTGCTCTGACAGGAGCGCGCGAGTCCACAAACCCACCAGCTGTTCACAGGGGAAGGACTGGGCAGTCTCCTCCTGTATGATTTACTGCCTCTGAAAACCCTCTGGAGGGTCAGCTATGGGTCAGTCCCAATTTGACAGTGAACAACAACCCCAGTTATCTTTTGGAGAACAACGTAAATTCCCACAGTGGTAGTCCATGGTTGTAGACTGGCCCGTTACAAGGCAGTGTCCATCAGGATGTGCTGCCTAAACATCCACCTGCAGTCTGTCCCCACTGAGAGGACTGACCTGCTGTCCAGGGGAGGACTGTGTGTCTCCTTGGCTCATACAGGCCACCAGCCATCTTGTCCTCCTTGGCTCCATAAAACAAAACAGTGTGACATCATCCCGCAGTTACAGTATATAGATTCATTAGCAAATGCACAGACAGCCAAGAGCAGACACCATCGGGCTGACACAGACCCACAGGAGCCCCATGAATGGAGTAGAGCTGTATCCCTGGGTATCATGATGGTGACCTTTTGGAGGAGCCTCAAGTGGGTTCAAACAACCTACTTTGCAGTTAATAGTTGGGTGCTTAGGGAGCTCTGGCCCCTCATCTGTAGGAAGCTGGCAGCTAACTCAAAGTTGACGCCTCTCTTGAGATTTGAATTCATCAGCTGTGTGGAGAGAGGAGGAGGGGGCAATCTCTCCTGTAGATTTACAGCCTCTATAAATCCACATAAATATAAACCTATAAATCTCGATTAAAACAAGCTTAGAAGCAGGAGTGGCATCCACTTCTGAAATAGCTTGCTTCTGGAAACTCTATGAACAGTGCTCAGGCCTTCTGTTCATAGGGTCTCTATGAATCATCTACGACTTGACGGCACCTAACAACAACCACAACAACCACCACCACCCACAGGAGGGTCAGCTATGAGTTTGTTCTGACTTGATGGCAATGACGTGAGTTGAGCACTTAATCCAGAGACTTGTTAGAGACGCTTCCCAAGTTCTCACAAATGTGGAATGCACAGAAAAAAGTAAGCAGACCTGGTTCGTGGTTAAACACAGCGACTCTCTCAGTTACCCCCTGACGATGCCTTGCAATCACACAGGGCTTCCCTGAGTCCCCTCCTCTGACACTCTGGACCACAAGCCCGGCTGGACCCAGAGCCTGAAGGGATCAGTGTTAGGGAACCCATGTTCCCCTTTCTCAATGTGTCAGGTTGAAAAGGGCTCTTTATAAACAAGGACCAGGTTTTTTTCTTTTTCCCCAAGCCAGTTTGGCACAAGGTTGGCTACATTCCCCTCCCAACCCTGTCCACTGGCTGGGCCAGCTCTGAAGAGTGTGAACGTGGGCACAGGTGCCATGCTGGCCACGGGGTCCTTCCCTACCTTGGGTAGTTGGTGCAGTACTGGGTATAGATGTGGAACTCTTCACTCTGCAATGACAAAGAGAGACTTCCTTGAGCACAAACACACTCTTAACAGCAGTAAAGACAAGTGGTACCCAAGCCTTTCAATCTGTTGTTCCAATCACATGATCTGTTTCTTGAGCCCATGTGGATGACCTTCTGGGCTTTTTCTACTTTCTTTCTTTCATTAATGGCTTGGGTGAGAGTTTAAAGAACAAATTTGTTTTCCAATCATCCATTGATACACATGTCGTTTCATAACATGAGCTGCAAACCCCTCAACGGCACAGCACTCTACCTGCTCCCTCTCTTGGTTTCCTCTTTCCATTGATCCTTCTTCCTTGCCTCTCCCTGCTCCTGAGCTTTGTAATTGGGTAAATTCTGCTCTTTCGGTCTCATAGGAATCATTTTACAACTCAGTGAATTGTAGGTAGGTGATGACAATGCAAATGATTCGTGTGTGTGTGTGTGTACCATCAAATCAACAAATTGGATCTGACTGGTACAGAAGGAGATTGTCCCTCCTTCTCCAGCAAAGCATCTAGTGGATTTGAACTGCACACCTCTGGGATTGTTAAATGATTGACTACACAGATGTTGTTGTTGTTATGTGCTGTCAAGTCACTTGTGACTCATAGCAACCCAACAGCCCTGAAACCTACTCTATCCTGTGCCTACTTTACTGTGTCTGACACACCAACCCTCATTACCCCAGTCACTGAATCAATCCATCTCATCGAGGGTCTCCCTCTCTTCCTCTGTTTCTCCATTCTTACAAGCATGACGCCCCTCTCCAAGGACTGGTCCCTCCTTATAACACACCCAAAATATGTCAGACAAAGCTTCAGAATCCTTGCCTCCTAGGAGCTGCCTGGCTTCACATTTTCAATTCTCATTTTTTTTTCAGCACTATAGCGTTTAAGTCTAAGCATTTCCACAACCCCTTTCTTAGGTAAACATAGAACGTTAGAGCAGTGATGCTCATGTTTTTTTGAGTCTGTCAAGATTAGCTGGAGGACACGTTAGAACAGATCACTGGGCCTCACTTCCAGGGACACGATTAGGTCTGAGGAGGGGCCCAAGAGTCAGCATTTGCATAATACCCCCACATGATGCTGATGTTGCGGGTCTAGGGATCATACTGTGAGAACCTCTGTGCTGTACACGCTGTCATCCACTGAGTTCTGTTTGTTTGGGGTTTTATAATTATCCTATAGTCACAGGAGGGAGCTCTGGTAGTCTAGTGGTAAGAAGCTGTGCTGCAGTCCCAAGCGTATGTGGTTCGAATCTACCAGGTGCTCTGAGGGAGAAAGACGGGCACTCTCCTTTTGCATGATTAAGTGCCCCTAAAGCCCCATTGGAGGGTCAGCTATGGGTCGCTTCTGACTGGATAGTACACAACAATAACAACAGCATCATAGGCAGAGATGCTCTGTTTTCATTGCGACCTGGGACTCCGTTGTGTAGATATAACCTAGTTGATCCAACCAGCTTTCTGTTGATGATCATTTGAGTTGTCTGAAGTGTTTTGCAGGAACAAATGGTAAGACAGAAAAATAGCACCATACTTTTTAACATTTTGTCAGCATGGGATTGAAGTAGGTATCTGTCGAGTTCAAATGTAAATTCAGATGAATTCTGCTACAAAACTCAAACCCAAAACCAAAAGTCCAAACCTACAGCTAATGAGTTGGTCCCGGCTTCCAGTGATGCTCTGTGGGGTTTCTGAGCCGTAAAGCCGGACTGCCCATCTTTCTTTTACAAAGTGGCTGAACCACAGACCTTTTGGATAGCAGTCTAACACATCATGCACTATGCCACCAGGGCTAGATGTTGCCAGGTCCCCTTGATGGGGTCTATATGCTGCTTTGCTTTCCGTAAGCACAAGACTGGTCTCATCCTGGGATCTTGTCAACATCACATGCTGCGAATTGTTAAGCACACTTTTTTTTTTTTAAATAGGGCTCTCGTGAACATAGTCAACGTTCCCCAAACTCACTGGACTTTTTGCAAAAACTGTGACAAGCACCAGCCCCACAAGGTGATAAAATTTAAAAAGGGCAAAGACTCTCCAATGTGCCCAGGGAAAGTGGCATTATGATCGGAAGCAGAGTGGCTGTGGTGGGCAGACCAAGCCAATTTTTCAGAAACAGGCAAAAACTACAAAGAAGATTGTGTTAAGACTTGAATGTATTGAGCCAAACTGCAAACCTAAAAGAATGTTGGCTGTCAAAAGATGCAGGTACTTTGAAATGGGAGGAGATAAAAAGTGAAAGGGTCAAGTGGTCCAGTTTGATCCAGTTCTAAGCTTCATCTTATTTTATCAAGACAGTAAACTCTTTGAGATTTAAAAAAACTGGAAATCAGCTGTGAGTTTTCACAGGTTGGAAGGTCTGATCTGATCTGAACGTCGTGATTTCTGCTTTCTGGAGCCCTCAGAAGCCTTGTTGGCACTGGGTCTGCTGCTCCCATGGCCATCAGTGCCAGCGGAGACTGGACGAGGACCTGGTCTGCTCCACCAGGGCCTGGCTCGTGTTCTCCTGTTTGGCTCCTGAAGGGATCCTGTGGTCACCCTGACGGAGGGTGAGGGGCAGTGTGTTCAGCTCCAGGCCATCCAGCAAGTTCCCAGCAGGGCAGCCCAACATCTGCTGGCTCTGTGCTGCCTCCTCTGAGCTTGCGTCTACCTTCCTGGCCCCGGCAGCCACTTCCTGGGATTAAGCAGCAATCAGGCTGCCTTAAACCCTGGGCCCTTGAGGCATTAAACCCTGTCGACCTGAGAGAGGACAGCTTCACTGACATTGAGAGATGCTGACACAGCATCACATATCTTGACCTCCTCGCACACTGCCCCGTCGAGACTGCAGACTGCTGTACAATTGTGCTTCTGACTCTCTGGCTCTGTGCCTATCTCAAATTAGAGGGCTCTGATTTAAATCAGCTACTTGGCCTGGAGATAGGATCAGGTGCAGAGCTGATGTGTGATTTCCAAAGCTCTATCTGTCTTTCAAGCACTAGTTTTACACAAAAATCAATAGCTTCTGGCCCTTTGATCCTTAAATGCTTATTACTTCTGATATATGCCACCCTGGAGGCAAGGCAAGGGCAATGAGGGCCCAGGGGCAACCTTAGGTCATATGTGAGGTTCAGTCCGAGATGCTGATGGCAGGGATATGGCAGCAGGAACGCCAGTTCCCATCTTTTTCAGCTGCTTCATTCTGGTACCTTCCATATTTTTGGCTCACTGGCCAATCTGCACCTTGGGCCTGTGACTGGAGGTGCTCTCCCCCCTCTGTCCTCTTGCTACACCTCTGTCCACCTAAGACTCATTTTAGAGATACTGAAAGACGTTTGCTCAAGGAGAAACCTCAGATGGCAGGAAAGGGTAGGAGAGAAGGATTAATGGACTCCCCTCCCCTTTTACTGTTGTGTACTGTCGAATTGGATCCAACTGGCACAGGAGATTGCCCCTCCTTCTCTAGCAGAGCCTCTGGTGGGTTTGAACAACACTCCTTTGGGATTGCAGCATAGGTTCTTGCCTCTAGGCCACTAGAGCTCCCCAGAGAAGGGTTAATGGAAATGGGAATAAAACAGAGGAATTGGGAAGAGTGTGGTTAGCTTGGGAGTACTGTAATGAATATCACAAAACAGAAAGTTTTCTAAAATGTGTATAAATGGTTGGATGGAAATCCAATTTGCTCTATCAGATTGCCCTGAAATAAAACTAAAACAATGAAGCTTTAAAATAAGAAAGTGATATAAGAATTACACACACACACACACACACACACACACGAGGTGGATTGATTCAGTGACTGGGGTAATCGGGATGGGTGTGTCAGAGGCAGTGCGGTTGGCACAGGATAGAGCAGGGTTTAGGGCTGTTGTACATAGGGTCACTATGAGTCGCAAATGACTCGACGGCTCATAACAACAACAACAACAACATATATATACACCAACTATATGAATGTATCAGTCCTGGTGACCCAGTTTACCAACGAGTAGAACTTCTTCCTAAGGTTTTCTTGGTTATCATAGTTAGGGAAGCAGATCTCCAGGTTCTCCTTTTGAGGGTCACTGGGTGGATGTGAACTCTCAATCTTTGGTCAATGCTCAACAGCAAGTTACTTACATGACCAAAGGACTTGCAAACATGCCTATTTCTTTCTAAATAGTCACTCTTTGAAATGGCAATGAAAGAAGATTTAGAAATGTGCTACCTGGTTACAGAAGAACCCAGTTAAGCACACAGGACATCCAGTCGTTTCTTGAATAAATAAGGAAAGGAATCTTAGGATTGAAGGCTTTCTTTCGGTTCCCTTCCTTTAACCAAGTCTGAGTGTGAGAAGCCTTCACTGAGCACTGTGAGAAAAAGCTGCTCCCTCCTCGGGGATGGAGATCAGCCTGGAAGGGTAGAAGGTCAGCGTGGAAGAAGACGACCTTGGATGAGACAGATTGACACATTGGCTGTGTCAGTGGGTCAAGGTGTGTTGGAGACAGTGAGGTTGGCTCAGGACAGGGCAGGGTTCAGAGCCGTTGTTCACAGGTTTGCTATGAATCATAGTTGACTTGATGTCACATAACACCACCACCAAGGAAGCACTAATTTGAGTTCACTTTAATGATTGAAAGATCTGCTATTAGCACTTTCTTTTTTTAATTTATTTATTTATTTATTTATTTTTAGCACTTTCTTGAGGGTCATTTCATCAACTAGTGGAGTGGCTGAGAGGGTAATGGAGGGGGCCAGGCAGCCATGGGGGGGGGCTGGAGGATGGGAGGGGACTGGAGGAGGTCAGTTAGTCATGGGTGGGGGGCTGAGGAGTAGATAGAAGGGGACTAGAGGGGGTCAGGCAGTCATGGGGGGCTGGAGGTGAAGGGGAAGGCACCAGAGGGGGCCAGGCAGCCGTGGGAGAGGACACTGGATGGGGCCAGGCAGCCATGGGGGAGGGCACAGGAGGGGAGGTGGCAGCCATGGGGG